TTTGTCTCTCCTCCTCCTCCTCCTCCTTCTCTCTCTCTCTCTCTCGCCCTCTTTCGCTCTCTCTTATTGCCACCAGCTGATGTCACCGCATCGATTGATTGCCAGACAGACGACCTCGTATCGATTGCCGTTGTCCCGTAGTCGACAGCATTCGGCCAGTTGTCAAGTCTCCCAATCTCGTCTGGCAACCCTCGGGTGGAATGCTCCAACCGAATTGATCTGACCAACTCGATCTACAACCGAATGGCCGGCAAAACTGACGAGAAAGGCTACATTCGCTGAGCCCAGCTACTTCGAGGCTGTTTTTTTTGCCATCTTGTCGTTTTCCCTAAAACTGACCTTCTTCCAGACGCCGGCAGCAGCAACAGGCCGAGCCAATCGAAAGGGTCAAACTCCGGGTCCGGTAAAGTGAAAGCAATCGGAAAACTCGAGAACAATTTACTCCTCGAGGCTACCTGTTGCATTGTAACTAGCAGATAAAGCTGGTCCGCTAGACAGACGTTTTCGTCAAATCAAAATGTTGCTCGTAATTGTTGCATCGCCATTAAAACACATGTGCGTTCGTCAGGCCTAACCTATGTAAAGGTGATCTTATAGATACGCGTTTATTGAATTCTGGATGAATGAATAGCTGACACCCCTGTTAAGACAGGTTTTTCAGGAGAAAATCCCGATGCATACAACTTAAATACTACTCGTGGTCTAGTAAGTAGTCAGTGCATATATTATTTTTAATTATAGCCTATTGCCTTTACTTGGCAATTGTTTGATCCGTTTTGAAAATGCCTCGATCAAGGCAATATTGCCTATGCCGCAGGGAGGCAAGGACAAAAGACCTTTTTCACTGGGCTCGAACCGGGTTTACTTTATAGCCTAACTTGTTGCCAATTATCATGAGAAAAAAAACGTCCATTCGTCGTGAACCCGATCGAGTCTGCAAAAATATTCACCTGACCCTACCAGTCATCGCTCAGGTCTCTAACTAAGCTCTGCTCACTTGTAAGATGAGCGTGAACTTGGCCTCACATCTTTGCTGGCAGACAAACTGTAGATCCATTCATCCTTAATTTGACGGCTCAGCCTCGTCAGACTCTCTTTTTCCGGCGGTCCGAAGTGCTGCGAACCCAAGTTACAAAACTGTCCATAAAGCGACAGCCGACTGCGACAGAAAGATAGTCTTTTACCGAAAAAAATATACTTTATTTCATCATCTCAAGAGGTGAAGATATGAAGATTATAGGGGCAGTTTACTTATGAACAAAGAGTAAGTAGTATCGAGCCTAATGGTGAAAATACATCCGATTTCATTGAGCGTCTCCATGCGATATAATTGAAATGTGTATCATGTCGAAAGTCGAATGGAGCTGGGCGAGGTATAGTTATGCGCTGGCTTGACAGAATTAACAAGATTGCTGTGAATCCTTTCAGTTTGTGTGAAATTGTGTCTGATGCAAAGTGTTTTGGACAAATCTCACCAGAAGACGCCGTTCAGATTGACACAGTCCACGAGTCATCCTCCAGCCTTTCAGACGAACCCGGCCTGCATTTTCGTTCGTCATGCAACGCCAAGTCAACAAGACTGACCAGATTTTTCCTCAAAACTCTTTTCAATAAAGCTTTCGATTTCGACGGGGTATAGAACGATTGCATTAAAGCCAAACAGTTGGTATCTTCTGGTAAGATTGATCTACCATGATGTACCTTTTCACGGCATGAAAGTATTCACGACAATCCATTCTCAGAAGATTCTTGTAATCCCGCATTTTCTTTGCTTTGTGGGCAAAACTGAGCGAAACTTTCGACGAATTTGCTGTAAAGCCTTTAGGGTGCTTCGGACGCGTTGGATACCATATCGACGGTAAAGCCGAACCCAATTTGTGAATGACGAAATAGCGATTAGATTCAGCCCTAAATAGAGCGAAAGAGAAGACAATTGTAGAATTGGGCTCTTGTTGTCATCAGATACAGATTGGACGATGGTACAATATAAGAAAATGCGTACATCAGTTGGTTGACTGTACAAGTGTCCGAGAGGCTTTAAGTCCATCCACGAGCCTTAAGGCTCGAGTCCCGCCAACGAGGTGGTCGTCACCATCGCCGTCGCCGTCGCCGTCGCCATTTGCTTGTTCGGTTGGGCCGGTGTGTTGGCACAGGCTGGCGACGACTGGTTGGCGGCGTCCAGTCGGCGCTGGTCACGACAATTTTGGTAGACAGCGACGCAGCGAACGATGAGTTCGGCGAGTTCGCCCAGCGAGATCATCGTCAAACCGATCCAGATGGACAGAAGTCCGCCGGTCTGTGAGAGCAGTCCCGTCAACGAGAGCACCTCTTTCTCTTCCACTTTGCGCAAAATGAAGTTGGGCCTGTTGATGAGCACCGCGACCAGATTGCGCTCCAGCGCGTCTTGGCCGTTGAGAATGGCGGCCGCCTGAGCCTCGCGACCCTCACGCAACTCGTGCAGCGCCAACCGGTAGGCTTGGTACTCGGGCCGGTCGAGCAGACCGACGCCGTCGGCGATCATGCGTGACGACAGCCAGGTCAGCTGAAAAGACTGTCAAAAGTAATCCTGTCGTTATGCCCTACTCTTCTCCACCTGGCTCGCAATTATAACTATTATAATAATTTATCCAGGAAATAAATTAATTTATATTTCGGTACTTTATTATCATATATTATAACATGAAACATCATAATGATAGCTAACAATATTGAGAAAATTGTATGATTGATTGATGGTAACAAATCCAATGTGAGGGTAGATAATAAAGTCATTTAAATAGTGTAGAAAAGTACTTTATTAATAATATATATATATATGATATTAATAATATAATACCAGATCATATTAGTACTTAATAATATATTATAAATATTTGAGTATACTTATCGATCGTAAGATCAAGTTCCCTCTTTGGAGGAGTGATGATATTGATAATACATTCTGATAATATATCTATTGTCTATTATAAAATGTAAACATATAATAATGAACATATAATTGATTAAAGTTGCATTAACCAAATAGATTTATATATACTTTCAACCATTAGCATACAATAATAATTAATATTTATTAAATATAAACATAAAATATAAAATATATTATAATTACATAATTATACTTATATGGCTGATTAATCTTATTGAAGATTTATTCATCCTATTGCGCCTAAGGTGATATAAATAAGCATAAGGTACCCTATGAATTTCACATTAGCTTGCTTTCTTCTTCCCAAATACTGTTCTCATCCCGGCTGGAGTGGACTGCAGTTTCGACCTCACATCGGTCTTATCAACACCCCCGGTGGAATTCCAGCAATGACAATTGGGCGTATAATCTCGACACGGTTCACTGCTTCACAAGGAAAAAATGTCTTTGGTTCACAGGGCAGATGTGAATTTCAAAGAAGGTCAGGCATTTTTCCGTATTACATTATATGGCCAGATTGTCGATGAGGCAAAGTTGTATTTGCTATATCAATCGACTCTGTTAATTATTTTTCGTTTATAGGTAGACTTTCGAAAGCGTACTGATTAATATCGTATTTTTCTTTAAACTATCCTCAAAGTATATGAATAAAGAATAATTAAGAAAAATCTTACAGTTATGAATATTATAATAATTATATTCGACTCCTCTTTTGCTATAAGCGAAATTATATTATGTATTCAACAATATCGTGATTATTATTTTTTTTTATTCGTATTAGAGTAGGGTTTCGAGACTACCAGTAAATCAGTGTAATGAGATGTATTCACCCTATT